GTGCTAACTTCTAAGGCCATCGACTCGACAGTTAAATTATATATATTATTATATATATATTATATTATATTATATTTTTATTAAATATATATTATATTATATGCTATTTAGTATGTTATTGATGTCTAAAAATTTGATTAGCAATTTTACATTATTGTGAGTAGGTGAGGTAAGAAGAATAGTTTACATTTGTTTAGAGCAAGAATGGCTCCTGAGAATTTGCCGCATTATACGATATCATTAGGTATTTGTTTAAAGGTAAGGAATAGTAAATTTGCATTTTTGCAGTTGCTGAAGATAATGACAGCGTAATAGAGAGTTGTATTATTTGTCCTTTAGTATTATATTATTGAGGGATAGAAAGGAAATCATGAACTATACCACAGAGAGTGGAGACCCTTGTGGAATGCTGTTGTGTAATTTATAAACATTAGTTAAGGTGTTATATACTCTAACACGGATGAATCGCTTGGTCATAAAAGTCTCACGAGATTGAAGGTCTTAGGACCTTCCCCCCACCGGGAAAGTTGTTCCAGGACAGTGTGCACTCCAACGAGGTTAAAAGCCCTTTCAAAATCAGAAGCCAAGATCGTTACATAATTTTTGGTTAAAAGGGCACTTGAGGCGTAATGATGAATATTACTTAGGGAGTAAATGGTACTGTGCTGTTGTTTGAATGCAGTTTGGTTGGGGCTGATAAGTTTATTTTTGGTTATAAGCCACATGATCCTTTTGGCAAGAAGTTGTTCCAGTGTTTTCTCAAGCAGGAGAGTAGAGATATGGGACGGAAGGATGATAATTCGTGGGAAGGTTTGTTTGGCTTAAGAATTGGGATTATTATAGCCGTTCTCCAAGTATGCGGATAGCTACCCGCATCTCACATTTTGTTGCAAATTTCTGACATTCTTTGCTTTATTATTATATTCGGATGGGATAAAAGCTTAATGCCCGTGGCGCAAGTACATTAGGTCAAATTGATAGTTTTGTGTGGGATGTTTTGCCGTACACATGGAGAATGGAAGAATTATTGAAAAAATAAAATAAGAAGTAGTTGGGAGGATTGAATTATAAATATTTTTAGTTTTCATAGTTTTGAGTTGTTTTAAAAATTATGTAGTTTTAGGCGAGAGGCCAAGGCTATCTAGTCATCATGGACTGTTTCGTTTGTGTTATATTCGTGTTGATTTTCCTGATAAGACAGCGGCGTAGAGGAGGTGTTCGATAATGTTGTTGTTGTAATTTCTTTATTTAAATCAGTAATTGTTTTATCTTTGCTTAGTTTGCTCTGATTTGGGCCTGTGTTGTTGTTTTTATTGTTTTTATGTTTGGATGTTTTTACGTTACTATATTTTATATTATATATATATTTTATATATATATTTTATATATATTTTATTTTATACTATATTTTTACGTTACGTCCCGCATTCGGTTCTGCAGCGTAGGAAGAAGGGCTGGATTGCTTTGTTGTTGTTGCATTGAACAGTAGTTTACCTTCGCGCATTGTGCGTTTTTTATTGTCTTGGTTTTTAGGAAGCAACGCAAACTGATTGCCCCTCATATAAGACGGCCGAGGGGGAAGCCTCAGATGAATAAAGCGTTAGTTATAAAAGTAAAATCTTAACTGCACTCGCGAAGGAATTTGAGAAAAGCAATCAATGATAGTCCGCGCGGGTCGCAAAAGAAATACACCGATTAGACTCTGCTGATAAGAAAACGTACGTCTGTCCGCAACGAGTACTAGCCGAAGACTGTAGTATTTTATAACATTTGCTTATAGTACTTACATATATACAAAAACTTCATAAGGATCTTATCATGCTTTATCCATGCTTTATTTAAATGATACATTACCCTAGATACTAACTATAAATTGTGCACTAAAATTTAAGAACAAAATAATTTCTTAACAAGGCGCAACTTGTGCAATAACTATGTTAAGAAAATATCACACATAGATTTATTTCACTTTTGTTTTTGGACAGTGTATGCTCGAGAGAAGTTCTTGTTCAGCCAATGGCGTGGAAGCACCTCTGTTTGTATGTGTGAATTATGCTTGCATAACTATATCAAAATATGTATATTTATATGTGTTGTTATTCACTGCCTTGGCTTTGGCTGGTGAAGAAATAAATTTTGTTTTCTAGCGCTGATCATGCACGACCTATTCCAAATTTGTATTCACATATGAATATGTATATTCACACACATACAAACATAATTGTTTGCACGGCTCTCATAGAGCCGAAGCGCAGAATACATTCTATTTTTAGCTTTTTGATTAGCTACTGATTTCGTTTTCGTTCTCCAATTTCAAAAAAGCAAGCTGCATAGTAGCATTTTGTTGTATGGCGTTACTCATCTAAGTGTTTATATTGTCTTTGCCAGAACCCTCTTCTACCAACACCAAATGAAACTCGCGCTACGCGCTCGTTAACCGCAGCAGTAAAAAAATACATTAAAAAAAAACTGTTTCCTCAATAGGCCACGAACTCGTGACAGACCACACTACTTGCCGCCGCCTCAACTAAACAGCCACACCAAGAATTCAGTCTTAATGAGTAAAACGGATAAAAATATCAGCATAGAAAACAATGCAACCGCAAATGCAATGCTGTTGATAGAATTCAATAAAGACGCATATGATTTTGTGTGTGTACATGTGCATATATAGAAATTCTTGCAAAATTTCCTCTAGCTGCCGCAACACGAAGCCATTCAAAACACGTTTTCATTGTGTTTCTTAACTGATCTTGATGAAATTTTCAGTAGAGCTTATTGTGCTATAGAATATTTGTGTATTCTCAAAAAGTCAATTGCATTTAAATTGTGGCTTATATTGGTGGACAGCATAAATTGGTGTTTTTACTTGATTTATGGCTATGAGGTAGATTCGGGGAGGTAGTGGTAGCTATAAAATGAAAGATATACATATACTATTCTAAAAGCTACATGTCAAGTTTGGCGACTCTACCTCTTATTATTTACCAAAAAGCTCAAAAAACAGGATTTCGATGTAGATTTGTATCGATTACTTGGAAATGGGGCATGTTATCGAATATCGAAAACAAACTAGATCTGCGCGGCCACTAGGAGGACCTACAGCTAAATTTTCTCTAGCTGTTGTGGGTTCTGAGATCCTTGCGTTTATACATACGAACAGACGGACATGGCTGGATCGACTCGGCCATTGATGCTGATCAAGAATATATATACTTTATGGGGTCATATATGCTTCCTTCTGCCTGTTACATACATTTGCACAAATACATTATACCCTTTTTACCCATTTTTAATGGGTTCAGGGTATAAAAACTGAATATGATGAAAATTTTTCTAAAAACTGAGCACGACCAAAAATGTCAGTCTAATTTTTGGTAGTACTTAATTTAAATTACACAACTACAACTGGAGTAAAGTACTGCGAATTGGGATTGCCTTCCTATTCCTTCTCCAAATTCAGAGATATTTTGCTACAAACACACAAGGAGTTCTCCTATGCACCACTATAATAAACATTTGTTATTTGGGTACTTGTGGACCTACATAAGTGTCCATCGATTCGGAATCAATTGTATCAACCTTCCTTTGCGTCAAGTCCGAATAGAAGTTACCGATCTAGATTATTAAATAATAATTTAAAAAAACGAATCGAGTTCCAATTTACTTTTGCTCGGGTATAAAGTTAGACTACATGCGCTCCTGCTGAATGTGCAATCCACTCAGCACACACAAAAATGTAAATTTTGAGTGAAATATTATTGATATCGATTGAATTTGTGGCTAAGTCATAAATGAAAACATATATAGTAATATTTAATTAAAGGCTGCTGGTCCAGGGTTTCATTTATTAAAATTAAAGAAGAAAACAATTTTGTTTAATTTATTTCCTCTACGATACATTTCGGCAGCGCCTCGGCAACCATCTTTTCGCAACCATCTCGCTCACTTGTACAGCCACCTATTAAACAGTCAAACAGTTTCAAGCACAGACGTGTAAAACAATGTACTGTTTAATGTTCAATTGATTTTTTCTCACAAAGAATCTTAATTGTTTTTTTTGTCTCTTGGTGTTAGTGCCCGGAAGACGGTTAATGATTTGCAGCCGAAATATATAGTATATAACTTTTTGATTTTAATAAATTAAGCCTCGGACCTCGAGCCAGCTAGTTAAATTTTTAAAAATGAAAGGGTCGCCAAAGCCAGCATTAATATATAGAAATAAACAACTTAATAAATAATAATTAACCAGTTTTGAGGACCTTCGTTTGTATGCCAGAAAGGAACCCTTGCAGTTGCAAGTCTTATGTTTTGAGGGTCTATCTCATTTAACAACATTAACATTTAAGGGCTTTAGATTGTTGCACTTGACTTTGGCGATAGATTGATCGAAGAATCATTTATTCTCCAAAAATATAATGTTCAATGTCAAAAGAGCATGCTTAACTCTCAGATTTTATTGCAATAGGAAATGTGTGCTCAAACATATGTATGTAAAACGATAAATATCCGCTTTATTTGTGGCTCATACGAGCATAGTATAACTAATACCGAGAATGCTCAAAGTAGCTTGATAAACAAAAAACTTCTTATTACACGAATATAACTTTTGACCCATCGTTTCTATGGCAGCTATACGATACAGTGGTCCGATATTATTTAGATTTTGCTAATATGTAGGGAGCATAGTAATACCTATATTTTATTTAAAATATATTGACAAAGTTTTTCATATAAAAACATATTTTTCGACCGATCATCCCAGCTTTATGATATATTGGTTAAATCCAACCTGTTCTGACATATGTAGCGCCTCCAACAGAAAAAACAGAGAATAGTAGTTCTTACAGACGGACATGGCTATGACAAATAATAACCTCTACTAGGGTATAAAAAGTGCGAGTCATTTACGAATACTAACGATGATGTATGCATATAAGCCAGTAAATTTAAGACAAATCCAAATTATCATTGCCGTTCCTTGAAAAATGTTGTCATCGTATTTTTCCATACTTAATTATTTAATCGTTTTCTGTATTTTAATTGTTTATACAATAAATTTAATTTGCGGTTTCACAAGCATCCACCCAATCGTTATATACATCAATAGGCTCTGACAAAAAGTTTATCCCAGTTTGAAAATCCTCTAGACAAACGCGACATGTTATTTTAGCAGTGTTCCGTCCTTTATCCCTGAAATGTTTACATGGGGGCATTAAAAAAGCTGGACAATTTTTGAAAACATACGTACAAATTACATTTTTACTTCACATGATTTTTCATGATTACAAAATGGGCAGTTAAATTGTTGATCCAAAGGCTCAATATTTTTTCTTTTAGGTGGAGGTTTTCTTTTAGATTTTCTTCTTCCCATATTTAATCAGAATCAACTTCTGGATATTAAGATCGGCTAGAATTCGCGTTGTGGATTATTTTAGAGATATAAGAGACAAGACAACGAAAGACAGATATATTTTAGACGACCATAGAAACTTTTGATGTTTACGATGTATTCCAATGTATCGATATTTTTCGATATTGTCAACTGGCAGTTTTTTAACACTTATGTGGCACTTAAATTATTTAATACTTAGTAACTGCTTCATAATTTTCTTTTTGCAAAATACCTATTAGCAATTTAAGAAATAAATACCCATTAGATAATAATTAAATCATAATGTTGGTTACTCAAAATGTTAACTACATTCAAATTGCTTTATTATATATACCTTATGTTCTCTTATAATTCGCCTCAAATGTGTCTTTAAACTAAATAGTTATGTAGTATTTTTTAATTAATATCCTTTCTCCACTGGGCTTAAAAATGTCACATTTTCAAGTTTCACATATTGGTGTTCCACCTGTTTCCAGTAACATGTGAGTGGCAAAAGTACCGCTTATTTAAATAAACAGCTGATCGAGTTGCTTTAATTTACATAAGCTTCGCACAGATTTCCTTCCAAAAGTCAAATAATACGGCCTCAAAGTACGGGCTCCATTTAAAAGGACTCTTTGCGGGATCTGGCCAATTATAAATGTTAAAAACTGTGGGATTTTAAAACATTATATTATAATTTGAAGTTACCGGTTGCCTTCGTTGCAATATCAGCTGTTTATGGTAATGAACACATTCACATTTTTCACAAGATCGATAGAAAACTCGATAAATCATCGCAAAAAACACGAACTGTTCGGGACGAATTTACACATTTTGCAAAAATGTGACATTTTAAAGAAATGTTTCAGTGGACAGAGGCTATGACTTGTTACGGAACTGCTTGTTTCTCAGTGGGCCGCGCCGGCTGGCTCATCGGATTCTCTGGGTGCAGTCCCATCCCTGGCCCGCAGTCCGCACAATCGATAACAACAAAGCTACACGTCTGTAGCAAAACAGACTCGCACAACACTACTCAAAATGAACCACATAATCGATAACAAATATTCGGAACTGCTAACTCATGAACAAAATAAACAGCTGTAACAACTATGAAAATGTAAACAAC